GAACTATATTTTCTGTACATTTTCGATGTATTACATTTTTCACTATGATAGTGACAAGGAAAGTTTATTTTTTTCATTACAAACATTGAACATTGATATGCGTCATGTCAGAAGGTCGTAGCCTCAGTCTCGCTATCTACGAGAAGAGACTTGAATGGGATCTTGACATGATGTCACCATACAGTACTATGGGAGTTGCAAACCGCAAGTAATGTACCTCTGATTTTACATATACTGTACATGTCGCATGAAATCCATATTGAAAACCGACATGACAAGAAACTGTGATGTTTTGATATATTCATCACAGTTTGTTTATGTGAAATTCGATCAGTAGCAATTTAACAATGTTGCGTTTTACATATGCTGTAAACATCTCATGGGACCCACATTGAATGTAATATGACGACGATAATATTAAGTGACTTGTTTATATTTCAGAGTTTCCACAGCAACCTTTGCCCACACGAGGCACGCTATGGCTCTGATGGAAAGAGTTGCAGTCTGTGTAGCTAATAACGAGCCAGTACTATTGGTTGGAGAGACGGGTACTGGTAAAACATCGTCTGTGCAATACCTTGCAGAGGTCACAGGTCATAGGTTACAGGTGATCAACATGAATCAGCAAAGTGACAGTGCTGATCTCTTGGGAGGGTGAGTGGATAAAAGTATTTCATAGTTTGTGAAAAACAGTGTTATACAACTGGTGATTTCACTTTTAACTACATAGCATTTGTCGTGCTTACGAGATTACGCTAAAACTAGAACTTACATATCCAATAAAACATTGTTCAGTACATGAAAGAAATTAAATGTGGATGGTATGCGCAAATGCATTATTTTGTTGCATTTTTTCAGTGATTTTCCCTGAATAGCAGGGGAAGTATACTGCCTGAACAGACATTGCAAAATTATCAACATTACCACAATTTGTTTGTCAGAATCAAACAACCTCGTGCATATTCGCGACACAACTCAAGTCAAAGCTATTACCTATAACCACTCTCTATATGGCTAACAAATCCTGGCAGTCAGAGATGATTTGTCAGGAATTTTAAACACATAATCATATATTTGAATGTTGATTAACCTTTTCACTGCCAGTTCCCTCTTTTCATCACAAATTCACAAAATAGTCCAATTTATAGTCAGATTTTTCTGCACTTTTCTTCAGAATATTGGGACAAATATAGCCCAATTTTGTAAAAACTAAAATTGATTTAAATTTTGTCTGTTGGCTCCAAAATTAGGGTTCATTTCCAGAAATATTGAAGAATGTAAGGAAAAAGTGCAGAAAAATTTGGGCTAGTAAATCTGGTGGTGAAAAGGTTAACTTATAATAACTTTGACCATGACAAAAAAAAATGTATTCAAGGCATTCAGAATGATGACTAATGAATAATTTCTCATTTCAGTTTCAAGCCTGTTGATATGAGACAAATAGTTGCTCCATTCAGGGAAGAGTTTGAAACGCTGTTTTGTAAGACATTCTCCAGAAAACAAAATATAAAATTCCTTGGTCACATGCTAGAATGCTTTGCTAAGAGGAAATGGCAGGACCTTTTCAAATTAATGCTACATGTTGCACAAGCAGCTGAAAAAAAGTGCAGTAAGTTTCTTTATTCCTACATGTCTACACTCTAAAATTGGACCAGTATGCTGGAGTCAAAACATGTTTAAAAACTGTGTCCCACATATTTCTTTTTGCTATATTGTTTGTTTTATCTTTTAAAGAGAATGTTTTGTGGATCCTAAAGAACCTTTAATGCATGTATATAAAATCATTCTTTAATAAGAGTTGAATATGTCATGTTATTAAATAATTTTAATAGAAAAAAATAAATCTTTGTACTTCATTATTTAAATTTTATACATTTTTTTTTTATCCACAGATACTGAAGAAGATCAGATTATGAAGTCTAAATGGCATAGTACTTGTCAAAGAATTCATCAGTTACAAACACAAGTTAAATACGCAGAAAGTGCTTTAGCATTTTCATTTATTGAGGTAAGCTAAATTACTTGGATTGTAAATAAGGCACACTTTGTGTCTGCTTTACATCATTTCAGGGGTAGATTAGTATAAGGGCATGCAACTTGGGGATAATCACGCCTAATTGTGTTGAGAATTTCGTACTAAATTGAAATTACTATTAAAAATAAAATCACACATGGCTACTTAGGTATTGATAGAAAATTAGCCTGTTCATTTGGTTTTAATGTTAGAATACTGATAGTCTGAAAAAGATTCTGTATCAACAAATATACCATTTTAATTGCTGATGCTTTGGTGTGGAATGGTGCATTCAACTTGATTTCATACTCGTATTGCTTCGGTTAATTCACTTCAGAAAAGTACATTCAATTTGTTTTCATATTCTGTTACAGAATACTTTAGTGAAATCACTTCAGAACAGAGCATTCAATTCGGTTTCATAATCTGTTACTGGGTACTTTAATGAATTCACTTCAGAACAGTGCATTCAATTTGATTTCATATTCTGTTACAGGGTACTTTGGTGAATTCACTTCAAAACAGTGCATTCAATTTGATTTCATATTTTGTTACAGGGTACTTTGGTGAATTCACTTCGGAATGGGGAATGGGTGCTATTAGATGAGATAAATTTAGCCACTGCCGAAACACTGGAATGTTTAAGTGGTTTATTGGAAAGCAAATCAGGATCCGTTGTTCTGATGGAAAGAGGGTAAGAGTTTGATTATTTTGTTAGTTTAGCTGTATTCATTGAGGGTTTATTATTCTTTGTGGGTAAAAAATATAGTTCAATTTACCTATTGTAGCGAACTTGTGCTAATTATTCCTGAAAACAATGGCTAAACTAAGTTGATATTCAGAAAATGTCATTTATGATAACATTTATATGAAAGTTTATTGATTAATGTCTTTTTAGGTCAGAGGCCCATATGACTAAAACATATCATATCATATCACATATCATATCATATCACATATCATATCACATATCATATCACATATCATATCACATATCATATCACATATCATATCACATATCATATCACATATCATATCATATCACATATCATATATCACATATA